AAATAGAAGATATAAAATATTAAATCGTATTGTTAAAGAATTCATGTAAAGATCTCTATTTAAAAAAATAAACAGGAAAAATACATTTTAAGAATATAAAAAATGTAATAATAATTTTTTTTTTGCCTGAAGAAATTTCCTAAATTAATTCTCGGTAGAATATTTTATAAGATTAATCCATTCTTTAGCATTTTATAAGAAGAAATCTGAAACGATCGTCATTAAAAAAACAAAAATCAAAAAAATATTCGGAATAAAACGAGAATGTTTCGTTTTAATATTTTATTTTATGATATTTTATGTTTATTTTACACATAATAAACCTTACTTGCATCTCAGGAATCCCGTTTGTTAGTAGAAATTCCTAGACAAAATGTTTTGTTGTAGAAATTTTGTTAAAATTCAAAAATTATATATTGCAAATGTGTCTTACATCTGGAAAAAAGTACGTGACATTTTCCTATTATTCTAAATTATAATAATATTAAGATTTTATGATTCAGAATTTATTAAAATTAATTGCTTTTTCAAGGCATGAGATACATTAACGCGCGTCGCGTCGCATCGCGCCTCGAGTACGGCGTTAAAATGATCGAATTTTTAGCTAAAATGCGTAAAATATAAATAAATAATAAATATATTATTAAAAAGTAATAATTCAGATTAATTAATAATACTATAAATACGTAATTTGCAATATGTAATTTTTGATCGTCCGCGCATCGCGTCGCACTAGAACTATTTTTATAGCTTCTTTAGTGTGAAAGTTACTATTGAATTTCTTATCGAATAAATAAAATACGGTTGATTGATTTATAAAAATAAGATTTAGGAAATTGCATTATTAAACTTATTAGAAGTTATTATTTATTTTTATTCGAAGTTAATTCGGCATTCGTTACGTATATGAAGTCACGCGTAAACGCGTCGCGACGGTTATAGATTGTGTAACTATCAGCTTAATGGTTATTTGTTCCTTTGCCTTCTATGTAAACACCCAAGCGGTGTATTTTTTATAAACACACTTTTAAAAAATTTATAAAAATATAAAATTATAAACGTAGTGAGTTATATATATATATATATCTCGCGGGTGATAGCACGCGACGCGACGCGACGCAACACTACGCGCGCGCGAGAAATATAACAAGAAATGTGACTAAAATTGCGAGAAATGATGACTCGAGAAAGAAACTAAACAAAACTATTTCGGGTTTTATTCTAAGAAATATAATGTTACGTCATTGTTTTTACACACGGAAGGTGAGAAAATTACATAGAAGACGACGATCCCCGCGCGACGAGCGGTTTACGTACGGAGGAAGTGAAGATTCGGACCCTGTTTACGTAGAGGAGATTTAAAATTTGCTTTTGTCTTGTTGCAATAGAAAACGACAGATGGCGAAAGTTTACCACGGGCCGTCCGTCGGCGCTCCCATCATGCTCTGGGGTACTCCTGTCTATCTTCCTGACGTCATAAGCCATACTGGCAGTTTAGTGAATGGAAGGCTAGTCGTGGGGAGGACGTTGAGTTGTGTCCACATTTGGTGTGCTATTTACTCTATCCCATCTTCTGTTGTCGTCCGGTCTTGGGACTAAGGTGGCGACAGCATGCCAAGGCGCAAGCAAGACAGACCACAACGGATGAAATGTAAGTGTTCTTTATATATCCCACTCTTCGTCTCCGCTTCAGCTTGACAAGCTTGGGGGATGGTATGACAGAATGCGCACACACGTTAAACCTGACAGCTTTCGCTCAACTGCGGCTGACGGTTGCCAAGCAACCGGGAAAACGGAATATATTCCCACAGCGTTTCCCGTCTTTAATTTTTGCTCGAATTTCGTCAAAATGTGTAATTTCGAGCCCCTGAAGACCCGACGCTTTGCAACGTAAAGAAACTCTTCGGGAGAAATTTTTTTTATTCCGATTTTTTTTAATATATTATTATTATTATACGAGGACGAAACGGGGGCGTGTTCGAGTTGTTTGGGACGTTCGGCTTTCGGACCGTAACACGATTTTCGGGATTAAAAGAGAAACGGTGTTTGGCTCGATGGGTTGAGGTTGCGATGATTCAGCCTTGCGGTACCGAAGCGCCACCAGCCAACAACGTCAGACGTCAGCTTCTCTTCAATCATCCGCCGGACAGCTGTCACGTGACATGTCTCCTAGACAACCGGTGCTCGTTCGCTTGTCTTGTGAAGAAACGTTTGGTTTTGTCTCTTTTCCTCCCATCCGTAATTGTTCTTACACGAATATTACTGCAATTTAAGCGTTACGGCGCGTAACTCTCCTCGACTTTACCGTTTATTTATTTATTTATTTCGATTTCTCCACACCTGGAATCGCGCGCAAAAATTTCGGGGAAGGGGGGTGTGCGCTCAAAAATTGAAAAACTTTGTCCGGGTTAATCGAGCATCGGATTTTAATTAAAATTTAGGTTAAGGAATTAAAATCGGGGTTGATCTTCCTCTTATAAATTGCTATTAATTGTACACTCGCTAGCGCATTTTAATTTAAAATTATCACTCCCCCCGTCCGTGTTCGGTGTTAGTTAACCTAGCACCGGAGCCGTGCATACGTAAATATTAAAAACGTGTCCAAATTACTACAGGGTCATTTCTTATATATTTACTTCATCAAACAAATGGAATCTCGCGCCTGAATTATTTAAAAGGGGTATTTTTTTTTCTTCTTTCTTTCTTTCTTCTCTTCCTTTCTGAAACTGTATCTAATTCTGGTTTCTAGAATTAGCTCCCATTTTGTGTTGCTAGAAGTTAACACTAGATGTTTAAAAATTTCAGATTAAAACAAAAACAATGCGTTTTGTTAGGTAAAAAATTAATTCAAACCCCGAATTTTTAGGGTATTTCCCTCGTGTTTGTTTAAATTTCCACGTTATAACAGGTTTTTTTTCCTTTTACGTGATAAATATGCCTACATGTTTGGCCGCAAACCAAAAGTTTTGGCGTTCGAAACTTCATTAAATAACAATTCCCTTCGTTAAAAAATCCCCTTTATTTTGGTTTCGTTGGCGGTGTTTACTCGGTTTTGTTACGCTCTTGCAGTGTGTTTGCATCGAATTTCCAGCTACGTGTGGATGCAAATGAAAGATTTAACGGGCGCAATCTGAGATTACGATAACCATCATGTTAATTACATGAAGTGGGATGCTCTTAATGCGTATGACATCAATTGGGTTAGATACACCAGTTAAGTATAAAATTGGGTCAATAACAACGTATAGAGTTCATTAATGCGTAACAACTATTAGACAGAGAGAGAGAAGGAGGCGAAACACGGCATCGAGTGCGCGTTATACGCGGTTCCGCGGTTAATCTTTAAAACGGAATTTGCATCTTTACTTCCCGATGCCATGAAATTCGTCCGAGCGAACGTAATTATCGATTTAATTAATCGACGCCGATTAAATAAATAAATAAATAAATAAACGAAAGAGAAAGTTTTAAAAAGTGAATAAAAACGGTCTGGATATTAAAAGTCCGGGGTTTAAAAATCCGTCAAATTCAATCATTTTTACGGGTCATCTTGTAAATTCCCACGAGAAACATTTACAGAGCGTCTGTGTATTGTTACTACTTTCTTAATTTAGAAGTAGGCAGTTCAAAAAGCCATACTCCGTCGGGCCACCTGCACTCCGAGCACGTGACCCTGGATCCCCCGTCACGTGACATGTTTGCTTTTATTGCCCGGCGTTTTACTTTAAACTCTCCCCACTCCTCCCCCTTCTTAGATCTTTTAAAGCGTTTGCGGCGCAATTCCGGCAAATTAAATAAGTTTCGAAATGACTTAATCGATTATTAAGCATCGATTGTCGTTTCGGTATATAATATAAATTTTTGGTTAATTAACCGTTTATGTATTTGGAGAATAAACTGTTTAGCGTTGTTCCTAAACCGTTTAAGAATTTCATTATAATTTCGTTGATTCTAAAGAGTGATTTAATGTATCGAAGCATTTAAAGTGCAATTAACTTTAATTGTAATTAATGAGAATTAAAACTTTCTGAAAATGCAAATACGACAACTGATTGGTCGATCGTTTTTTTCAAAATTAGCCAATTTCTTGATAAACCCGTTCTGATTGGTCGATCGGTTTTTCAAAAAAATGTATGATTAGCTTTAATTGTAATTAACGAGAATTAATACAACAAACACGACAAGTGATTGGTCGAAGGGTTTTTCGAAATTAGCCAATAATCGTTGTATTTTGTTTGATAAAACCCATTGATTGGTCGATCAGTTAATTCGAAACTTATTAAGTACTTTCATTGGCTGGATGTTTTATATTGAAAATTATGAGTAAATGTTTAAAACTTTTTTTTTATGTCTTTAAAAATTTTGAAATTGATGGATTTAAAAAATTTCAAATTTTTAACCAATGAGCTTGCATTAAACAAAGGAAAAAATGGATATAAGAACTGTTATGTTTTTAATTTCGCGAAGTTATAATAATTTTTGAAAGATAATTGCATTTCATTAAATTGCTTCTGTAAACTTCGTTCTAGAGATAATTTAATTTCCTGGAAATTAGCAAATAATAAAATATAAATTGTAATTCAATAAGAATCAATCGATTAGTTTTATTTTTGAATTTCGAATTAAATAACTGATTAAATCAATTATTTCCATTAAAAAAATGAAATTAAGCTTTTTAATGCCTAATTTTAAACAAATTTTTGGCTCTCTTTTTTTTTTTAATTTTCTCTCAATTTAATCATTAAATGTAAATTCAATTTAAGCGGTCGAAAACGGCGATTATTGGCTAATTTTGAAAATTGATTGACCAATCAGCTGTCACGTCGTTATTTTTCAAAAATTACAATCCTTATTAATTACAATTGAAGTTAACTACATTTTAAAAGTTTCGATACATCCGATTACGCTTGAGTTAGGCAAAATTATAATAAATTATCATTAAATCATTAAGTACGAAACCATTAAAATTACGCTCAATTATATTGTAATTTGAACAGTTTGTTAGAAAAAAAATTCAAATTTTTTCATGACCTAAATCACCGAATAGATTCTTTTTTTTTTTTTTTTAAAGATGGCGTAGACAGAGTGGCTCAAAAGTCAGTTAACTCTAACTGAGTTCGAGTAAATTAACTTTATTGTTTAGTTAATTAATTACAGCACAGTTTTCGGAATGGTTAACTGAGTTTTGGACAGCCGTGGGTAATTTCCTAGATTCGAAACTCGAATAAATAAAAATAATTTAAAATTACTGGATGTAATTACAGTCTGTTGATGGTAGTCAGATATCACATATATCCTGCCACCTGTGTTTTACGACTGGGATGAATTAAACACCTGTTTGTGATATTCGTTTATGTTTTGTCCTTCCAGTTCGTATGTCTGCCATGCACGATACGTTATACACATTAATTTGCAGCGTGTATTTTTAACAAAGCAGCTGAATCAATCCGTCTCTAACGAGACGGGGGAAAAAAAATAATATGAAGTCACTCAATCCTATAGGATTGTTACCTGAACAGGAAACTGCTACTAAAAACACGAAACTGCTATCAAAATTACCCATTCTGGTAAATTTAAACCGCATATATTATAATTATTTTGATTTTTTACGGGGTGATATTAACAGGTATTGTGACTAATCTCCTTTCATTTTAATTAGGATAGATCATTGTGTGGATAATGGGGTCAGATCATATAAGTTAGGCTTTGAAAAAAAAAATGTGGTAAACATTCTTTGTATGGCTGTGTTTTTTTTTGAAAAAAAAAAAAGTTATCTTTAACCTGAAAAATAAACATATTCTCGGTGTTTGCTTACAATAACACCGCTAACATAATAATGCCTTCTCGAGATTTGAGTATTTGAAAGTAGAAGAGAGCGATGACAAATAGGGCTGGAAAGTGGAATATGGATAAGTGACATCTGTTTGTGGTTATGCTACTGTAGTCGTATCCGGTGTTTCATAATAGATCTCGCATACATATTCACCACAGGATCCTACACTAGATTCGCCGAACGTTTCCTTTTTTATCGAATGTTTCTCGTTTCGAGATCCTCTCGAATCGAATTTTTCTACACGCATCTTGCCACTCTTCACTATTGCTGGAAATTTACTAAAATTAAAGTAATTGTGTACAGTACAAGTATAAAAATGTTACACGTTACTCCAGTTATTTCGCTTTTTTTTTTTTTTTCTTTTTTGCTTTCTGTTTAGAGAAAAATAACTAGTTTTATATTCGAGTTTCCTCTCCTGTACGAGCTTCCATTGTTTTCCAATTGGGAGAAAAAAAAGAAGAAAAAAGTCGAAAGTAATTTTGTACATGTCGTGAGGACGTACAATCAAAATGACATATCTTAGGCTCTACATTGTACCTCGTGTAATTTATAACTGTGAAGCTATTGCCGTATGACTCATAATACTTGACCGACTGACTCACTTCCATCGTTTCTTCCTACTCAGAAGAGATTCATCAACACGATAATTTTTTTTTATTTTAAATTTATTTTTAATTGTATTAATCGTTAGATAATTAACGAGACGTTAATTAAATGTAATAATATTTAATGTAATTTGAATTGAATTCGTTTGGGGTTTTTCCTGGTCGCGTCGTTACTTTCGAATTTAAACAAATAAGCGTGGTTAATGTTTAGCG